TATATATATATATATGTCGCTTGCTTTGCTTGGATTGAGAAGCTTGGATTGAGAGGTTATATGACACGTGATTTTTGCTTTCTTTTGTTTTTGAGGCAGCTATATATTTCAGGCTGGCCTTGGACTCACGCACTGGGATCACAAACATGGACCACCACGCCCGGCAAAGACATTTTTTAAATGGCACATTTCCCTATCCTTTCCTTCTGCCATTCCCATTTGGATGCATATATACACTTAAGCTTTTGTTGAAAAGCACTTCTAAAAGTTTCAACAGATTCTTGTCCCTTGTCTTGGGAAGAGTTAGTCTAGTTATAAGAATTTGGGAGGTTGTATTCTGATGATTTCAGGGAGGGAAGACAATTACTAGTCAGTGTTTTAGGCAGCACTCTCGGTAACTTTTAAGTGTACTTTTAGGAAAAAGGCACATTCAATTTGAGGTGATAATTTGTCTTTTGTAATCTAATTCCAACAATTTCTTCGTTGCTTTTGAAGTCATGAAAAAATAAAACTTTGATCAATTTTAATCATATTGAGAGGCAAGTACTCATTTCTTATTTGTAATTTAACTTTTTAAAATTTGACTTTCCTGTTACTGTCAAGTAGCGAAGACATCTGCTTATATTGATCATATCCACTATTTTACTGTCAATATGGACAAAAAGATTAAATGATTCACTTTTGAACCTTTATGACATCCTGAAGGTAGATTTAAAATATATCCTGCTGGGCTGGGCATGTAGTTCAGAGGTAGAGCACTTGCCTGTCATGTGTAAGTCTTTGGGTTTGATATCCAGCACAGCTAGGCGAAGAGATACACACATGCACACACACTGCCATGTTAGTACTATACATAAACACAGTACCACCTCAGTACAGAGGAGAAAGGCTCCTAAGAAAAGGCATATTTGATTCTTTTTCTTATTTTTTGACACAGGGTCTCACCATGTGGTTCAGGCTGGCTTGAACTCACTACATAGCTGATGCTGGCCTTGGACTCATAAGGATCCTCCTGCCTCAGCCTCCTAGCTGCAGGGATTTTACGTGTGTGCACTATGCCTGGCTAAAGACATTTGATTCTTTTTTTTTTGGTCTTTTTGAGACAGGGTCTCGCTATGCAGTTCAGGCTGATCTTGAGCTCACTCTGTAGCCCAGTCTGGCCTTGAACTCCCAACAACCCTCCTGCCTCAGCCTCCTGAATGTTGGGATTACAGGTGTGAGTGCTGGGATTACAGGCCTGTGCCACCATGCCCCACAAGACATTTGATTAGTAAAGCTGGTATTTTTTCCCTGCTTCTTCAGTGTGCTGAATTGCAAGTAAAATGAAAGCCAAGTTGTCGATTTTTTTCTGTGTTTTTGTTTTTACATTATGTATGTGGTTCCCGTCATAAATCTTTCACAAGATTATCTAGCACTAGTAGCTGTAATTTCTTTTTACAACTCAAAAAAGAAAAAAAACCATTTACCAACATTTCTTTTTTTAATGAGAATTGCAGAAGATTTTAACAGCATTTGTCTAAAACAGTGGTGGTAAACCTGTGGCACATGTGCTGCAGGGGGCAGTTTGTATCATTGAAAGGCTAAAAGGTTCACCATCACTATATTGTTTGTACCACAGAAGGATCTGTCCAAAAACCTAGTGACATTATAGTCTATATTCTTGGGGGAGAGTTTATTCTTTTCTAGGTTATATTTAGATTACTGATTGACATGGTCAAATAAAAGTGCAGCTGTAGCAAGCAGAATGCTAAATAGTTCAACTTTGGGATATGCTAAATTCAGTTTAATGTGTGAGTCAAAGTTACAGTGAAAGAGCATTTTTTTGTATAATGAGGACAGTCTGTTAACTTTAAAAAATTGTGTTGCCCTGTAAATTTATCTTTTTTAAAATATACATAACATTACTGTTGGTAAGAATGTATAATTTCACTGCAGTGAGAGATTTTATATATAACCTGATATTAATCATTTTAGAATTTTGTTTTGTGAGATTAAATTTTTTTAAAAGAAAGCTTAAGGTAATGTTTCAGGTGTTTAAAGTGTGTCCTTACAGAGTAACTCTGAAAGTAGGACAATCATGTTATATATGACCTTTTATATATTTTCCTGTCAGCATTAATTTAGGAATATAGGTTATATCCAAGTGGAATAATGTACATTTTGTTTGTTTTCTTAATAATATACTTTTAAAAGTGATATGATTCTCATATGTTAAAGTTTGGTTTTCTTTTTTATGATAAGTTAAATTAACTAGACTTTGCTTTAGCACATCTGACTTGCTACCTGGCTTTACCATGTCAGAGCAAATTAAGCATTCTGAAGCAGTTCTGAAAAAGGTAAAGTTGAATAACTTTACTGCCAGTGAATCTGACATATTATAACTTAGTTTTAAAAAAAAGCTTTTGCCCTCCTGGTTTGCTAATTTTAAGAAAGTACACTTGGGTTTAAGACTCATAGATCCATGAATACAGGGAATTTTAAGCTATTATAGGTATTTGTTTTATTTCATTACTTTTTTTAAACACGTATTTTTGAATGAGTTCTAACCTGTTTCACATTATGGAAAGAACTGACTTTGAGATTCAAGAGCTGTAAGTTCTGCTCTGAAAATTCTTTGGCCTTAGTCAAATTTGTTAAGTAAATTTTTCCTGTTTATGTATAAATAATATTTGATTCCAGGTATAATTCACAAGTTTTGAGAATCAGCTAGGGATTAAAATTCTCTTTTTTGTCTTTCAGACAGTGTCTCATTATGCACTTCAGGCTGGTCTTGAGCTCACTAGCTCACTACTTTGTAGCCCAGGCTGGCTTTGAACTTGCAACAATCTCCTACCTCAGCCTCCTGAGTGCTGGGATTACAGGTGTGCACCACAACACCTGGTGAAAGTTATTCTTTTCTGGGGACTGAAATTCTGTCTTAAATAAAATATGCTACAATAAATACTAATTCTCAAAACTTGTAGTTGTATTGATTAAAATATAAAGCTAGAGGTCTGTTTCATGTCGTGGTGGCATGTGCACAGTCGGAATTAAATCAGAATGTTTTAAATGATATTTTCTTCTTAGGTTTTTTATCTCTTCCAACTATTTTTTATATTTTATATTTATTTATGTATTTATTTATTTTGAGTCAGGGTCAAACTCTGTAATTCAGGCTGCCTTTGAACTCACTATGTAGCCCAACCTAGCCTTGAACTCGTGAGGATCCTCCTGCCTCAGCCTCACAAGTGCTGGAATTATAGGTGTGTGCCAATACGCCCAACTTGCTACTTTTTTTTTTTAACATGTACAAGACTAATAACTGAAAGTAGCAGGACATGGTAGTGCATGCCTATAATCCCAGCACTTGGGAAGTTGGGGCAGGAGGATTACAGCTGCAAGTTCAAGGCCAGCCTGAACTACCTAATGAGCTTCTGTCTCAAAAAACAAAAGTGAAATAAGCAAAATTTAAGAAAGTCTCCAGAGAATTTGCTTTTTTGTTTTTTTTTTTTTATTTTATTTTTTTTTTTTCTCCGGTACCGGGAACCGAACTCACGACCTTGCGCTTGCCAGGCAGGCGCTTTTTGCCGCTGAGCTAAATCCCCAGCCCCAAATTTGCTTTTTTGGCTATTGAATTGCTCTAAGCTGTCTGTGTTGAAGGACTTTTATTTATTTCTTTTAATTCCAGTCGCTGTCACACTTGTAAAATACAATAAAAAGGGATCACTGGGAAAGCAAAATGTAAAACATACGTGAGCTAAAAGCTGTTTTTTTTTTTTATTAGATTCAATGTACATAAAATTACTCTGTCAAATTTTTATAAAGGTTCTTAAATGCTTGCTTTGAATTTTCATTCTTAACTCATTACAGCCGTTATAAGCAGCAACCATTACAAGCAGATCTGGCACAAGTCCATGGACCACATTTTCAGTAGCTTTGCTCTAAAGCCTAAACCACAATCTATTTTGGAAAGTGAATGTGAAGTAGTTTTGGAATCAGAGAATTTGAGTGATTGCAGAGAAAGTGCAGTAATAATGAGAATGATGCATGGTGTTGACCAAATAGTCATTCATGCAGATACATTTTTTTCCCCTAAGGGACACACACAATTTGACTGTACAGTTTATCACTTAATCAAGTGCTTTTCATTATATTTTTTCTTAAAATTAATTTTTGGAGAGGGGATCTAGGGGTTGAACTCAGGGCCTCTGGAATGCTAAGCAAGCTCTCTACCACGGAGCAGCATTCCCAGTCCAAATCTTGTTTTTGTTTTTCTTATACCACCCAACAGTTACTTATTGAATACTTCTAAGTACAATAGTTAACTTTATGGTAGATTCTGGCATGATATAAATATGGACAATAATGTCTTCATTGTTGACCTAGATTCCTGAGAGTTGTTTTACCAAGAAGGGTATGGTTGTTCAGGGTCTTCAGAAATCTGCCATGCCAGTGAGCCAAAAAGTCACTTTGGCCAACATCTTATCCTCTTAATTGATTTTAAGTGAAATATATCACACTCTTCCCTCTCCACAAAAATTGGAGAATATTTACTGGGGAGTGAACCTTTGCATTGAATTTGAATTACCTCCCCATCCCCTTTTTATTTTTATTTTGAGAGAAGGTCTCAATTAATTGCCCAGGAGGGTTTTGAACTCCTGCCTCAGCCTCCCCAGAAATGGGATATAGGTGTGCCATCATGACTAGCTCATTACTAATTTTTTAAATGAAAAAAATACTTTATTCATTTGCTGTATGGTCATTCACACAAATTCAAGTTATAACAAAACTTTGCAAGGGACATACTACTTTTGTAAAATAAGACCAACTTTTGAGCTGGGCATGGTAATACATGCCTCTTAAATCCCAGTACTCTGAGAGGCTGAGGCAGGAAAACTGCAAGTGCTAACCCAGCGTGGGCAATTTAGCCACTTAGCCAGTTAGAAAAAGTCATTACTTTCTCAAAAACTTTTACTACCATCTGCCAGAAAAAGTGACATAATAAACGTAAAATCTGTTATGTTTATGGTATGAATGACCCTCTTTAGGTATGATAGTACTGTATGCTAAACAACCAGCACAGCCTTGAGTCAAATTGTAGCCCTGCTTAGGAGCCATTTCCCTTATCCTTTTTAATTTCTCCTTTGGCACTGACTACCAGTGATGTAAAATATTTTGCTGTTTCAAAGATGCTGGGTCTAGTTTTTTTTATATCTATAATGTGTTTATACTTCAGGTTAAAGTCACTGCATTTTGTGAAATTAAATTGTGGCCACTCCTGTTTCACTATTTATTTGACAGTACTATAATATATAGCAGCTTTTAATACTTCAGTACATTAGGTATTAACCTTAGACTTACAAATTTTTTGAGAGCAATATTCTGACCCTTAAATGTGATGGGTCTCACTAAGCTGCCTAAAATGGCTTCTGTTCTGTTTGTTCTCTCTCTCTGTCTCTCCTTCCCTCTCCTTTCTCTCTCCCTCCCTCCCTCTCTCTTTCTCCTCCCCCCACAACTTGGTGGACTTAAGCCAGTGATTTTTTAAAGTTTTGTTTTAGTAGTTGGCAATTATTGTCATGTTTAATACTGTAAGGCAAATAAGAAAGAAAAAATTCTTGGACCTTGTGTTTTCTTTATTGTCTAGTAATTCATGCCACTTTGAAGGACTTTCTGTTGTGTTGATTTGTTAATTTTGTAAATTTAACATTTTATATTATAAATATATTTCAACTTAAATTTAATGTCATGAAGTATAGCTGGTAAGGTTTTAAACACTTTTTAGGCTACTGTTTTAAATTTAAGAGAAAAAATAAAGGTGAAAAACATATTCCAAGTTGTTTAGGTGATTCTTAGATGCTAGAGACTGTTAAAAGCATGTATTAATTGTTAGTTCCTACAAGCCCTAACATTGTAATCATGTGTATTTAATTTTGTTTCCTCTGGGGGGCCAGAGTCCATCCTGCACTCTTTATTTATATTCATTTATTCTTCTCAACACCCTGATCCAGTGAGAGGCAGATACTGTTTTGTTCTTTTTAGCGGTGAGTAAACAGACTTGAAAGGATTCAGGGTCACACAGCTAATTGACTTTGGAGTCAATTTGTAGCAATTTGGACTTAGGTTACCCACTACATTGCTTGTATCCACTACTTGTACCTACTACATTGTCTCAGTTGCAGCAAGATATTATGAAATAGATGCTGTTCTTAGTCTATACATTGAAAAGCTTAGCAATATTAAGCAACATATCCCACATTATACAAAGACTGCCAACTAAGTTTCAGTTCTAGATGTGTTTCATTTCAAAAGGGGGAGATTATATCTGGAAGGATTGAACAAACTTAATTTGAAGGTGTGATTTGATCTTTTCCTTTAATGCATTGCCCTCACCATGAGTGTGGGAAGCTGTGGTTTTTGTTGGGAAACACTGAGTGGTCCAACATAGCAGAAGTATGCAGAGATTTAATGGTAAAAATAAAGCTGCAAGGGTACAGGGCCTTAGATCCTGGACCTTAGTGTAGGCCTGAGGAAATCAGACTTTTTTTTGAGACAGGTCTCACTGTTAGTTCAGACTGGCCTTGAACTCACTGTGTAGCCCAGGCTGGCCTCAAACTCACAGCAATCCTCCCGCCTCAGCCTCCAAAGGGCTAGAATTACCAGACTTTGTTTAGAATATGATGGGAAACTATAAGCTTTCGTTTGGTTTCCTTTGGTATTGTCTCCAAATACTCTATTATATTTGTATCCTCAAAAAGAGAAAAGAAAAGCCTGGCATGGTGGCACACACCTGTAATCCCAGCATTTGGTAGGCTGAGGCAGAAGGATCCCTGTGAGTCTGAGACCAGCCTGAACAGCAAAGTGACTTTAAAGCCAGTCTGAACCTTATAGTAAGACCCTATCCTCCCCAACCAAAAAAAAAAAGAAAAAAAATGAGAGAGAGAAAAGATAAAACTAAAGCTTTGGCTTTTATAATTGATGCTTTAAAAATGTCAGTTTAAGTAAAAATGCAGGCTGCCTAGTCACTTATTTTTCCACTGTGTTCCAAGCTCCTTGAAGTCAAGAATAATGTGGTAACCGTGATACACAGAATTCAGAATAATGCCTTTCTGAGGTTTTTTAGGTAGAGTGTGTTATGAGAAGGGTGAATTAATTACAGCTCGTATTAATAAATAGTAATCTGCTTTTTGCATCAGATTATACCCTCAAGCCAGGCTTGGTGGCGCATACCTGTAATCCTAGCACTTGGGAAGCTGAGGCAGGGGGATTGTTGTGAGTTTGGGACCAGCCTGGGCTACAGAGTGAGCTTAAGGCCAGCCTGAACTGCAGAGCAAGTCCCTGTCTCAAAAAAAAAAGACAAACAAAAAAAACCAACAAAACAGATTATACCTTCAAAAGGTTGATAAAAACAGCATAACATGTAAAATAAAGTTGTGAATCATTCACAATGTCTTAAAAATTATAGTTTATATGAGAATGTGGATTTCTAAGGGTACCTTTGGTGATTTTCTTGAAGAGCAAATTTCTACAGTTAGAATTTGAGAACATCTTTTTGGTTCATTACAATTGTTGAAAGACTACAAGAACTGATGAGCTATATTGATTTACCCTTTTTTAACCACCTAAATGTTATCATTGGCTCAAATTACAGAATATACCCTTAAGGTGTGAAGCAACATGTAGAAAACTATAAAATATAATATTGAATACTGTGAATGAAAAGGAAGTTTTATGGCTTGTCTTTTCTGATTACAAAAGTCATTTAGAGAGTACATTGCATTGCTGGAGAAGTAGCTCAGTAGAGTAGAGTGCTTTGCTAGCATGTGTGAGGCCTGGGTTTAAAGCTCCAGTGCCAAAAAGAGTTTCAGTTGAAAACGTATAATTTTTCTTGTAAAATTTTTTTTTCTAAATCTGAAAAATAAAAAGGAGAGACTTTTTTATTAATGCATCTAGCTTTATAGTCTTCTGTACTTATTATAGTTTGTCTGACTTAATGATGTTTGACTTACTATGAGTGCTAGGTGAAAAATATTTTTTTACTAAAACCACGTTATTAAATTAGACCTTCCCCCCCCCAGGAAGTGCTTTGATCTTATAAAAATTAGAATGAAAGTGAAGGTTTTGCTTTGAAATGTTGTATAAGTTTTAACTAATTTGCAATCTAACGTTGAGAAAGTTGATGAAAATATTTTGTCTCAGACAATTGTTGTAAAATAGGTAAAGTTATTAGAAAACAACATCCCTTCCCTTCCAGGAAAATAATGCCACAAAACCTTCATGTTCCTTAGTTGAAGGAAAGCTATATTTTATTACCCTTTTATGTTTTCATTTCTCTAGCACTAGAAAGTTTGGGCTTTGGCTCTTACATCAGTGAAGTAAAAGAAGTCTTACAAGAATGCAAGACGGTAGCATTAAAAAGAAGAAAGGCCAGTTCTCGTTTGGAAAACCTTGGTATTCCTGAAGAAGAGTTATTGAGACAGCAACAGGAATTATTTGCAAAAGTAAGTCATACATTTTAAATTATTTTCATCTGAATCTTCACCTTGTTTGCTAATAGAAATCATTCAGGTATTTAAAATTGCTTCCTAAATTTCAACATAATATACCAAAATGATTCTCTTTCTCTTGGTGATTGCTTGATTATAGAGTCTTATATTTAGAGCTGGCCAGTTTGACTGTGGTATAATAAAAGTAAATATTTGCAGTAACATGTTTTCTAAAGGAAACAACTCCAAAAAACTGTTGAGATTTTACTTTGATTTTTTTCAGGCAGAATGACAATTTAAGAGCTTGAAAGGTGGTACATGCTTGTAATCTTACCCTTTAGGAGGCTGAGGCAGGAAAATCTTGCCTAGCCTGGACAACTTAGCAAGACCGTATCTCAAAATGAAAAAAGGGCTGAGGACGTAGCTCAGTGTGAAGCTCTGGGTTCAATACCACGTACCATAAATGACTGAATGAATGAAAGAAAAGGAAAGGGGGCCTAAATAGCCTTAAGATTTAGAGTGATGGGCTAATAAGCAAAGACTGTGAAATTTTATGAGTAGCACTCTAGGAAAATCTGATTAATATCTAATTTGTAGTTAAATTGGATCTTTTACATATCTTTAAAATTTCCATTTTTTAAAGGGCCAATAGAACAAAGAAAGGGAGAAATTTTACTTTTTTCTTGTTTTTATGTTTCTAACATCTAGTCCAGTGGTGGCGAACCTATGGCTTGAGCACCATCTGAAATTGCCATATGGCTTGAGTGCCATATGAAACTGCCATATGACAGTGATCAATGAAAGCTCTAAAGCTGGTGGCAAACCTATGGCATGTGTGCCACAGCGATTAATGAAAGCTCTATCATGGACCTAGTATATGAGGGATAACATCAAATAGTATTATCCTTCTGTTTTAGAAAAATGAGGGGAGGAGGTGGCATGGCTGGGGTTTTTCTGCTGAGTTCTAGTCTCTTATTTGAAAGTTTTAGCTTGAACAAAAGTGAGTTTTCCCCCAGCTACTAGAGTACCCATTAGAACCAAGAAGTATCGTTTTAGGCAAACTCTTCCAAATTAGCATTATAGCTGATTTCCCTGCAGACATAACAGTTACTATAGTTAGCATTTGGGTCTTAATAGACACTAGACGCAAGGTACCATTTAAAATAACTAGAAAAATATAGCTTACCAATAATTATTGAATTCTGACCATGTGTTAATTATATTGCCAAGTAATTTACCTGTATTAATTCATTTAATCTTCCTAAGAACCCATGAGATAGTAGAGAGAAAAAGCCTTTGAGGCCTTCATGAACACATGCAAACAGTATTGTATCTGTATTATAATACATATAAGATACCAAAGAAAAGGGATGTTTTGAAAAAAAAAAACACTAATGGCTATTATTTATTCTGATTCTTCGCTTTTGCAGATTACCTACAGTGTGCCAAAGTAAATACAGTGGTACCTTGGTTCTCGGACTCAGTGCTATCCATGAGTTTGGTCGCAAACTGAACTGGATGAGAACTGAATCAAATTTCCAAAAAAAGTCAACATTAAACCTCACCATTGAATTTGGTTCCATTCTCATCCAACTCAGTTTGCGACCAGAATTGTGGAAAAAAATCAAGTTCATGAACCAAGATGCCACTGTATATGCTGATAGAAAATATTCTGCTAGACATTTTATATACCCTACAAAATTTTTATTAAATAGTATATATTTTGTTATGTCTGTTTACACATTAAGAAAGCGACTCAGGTAAAAAAAAAAACTTGCATGAGATATCAGGTTAATAATATCCCTTAGTTATTGCAGCCTGATCAGGTCCAAAATCTCCCAAACAAGTGTATGGCAAAGGCTAAATAAAAAGAGGCAAATGGAGTGATTTCAGGCTCCAGGAGGATCAAAGCCCTCTCACAGAATTTGAGATTCTCTTGGGGCTAAAACCAAGACCTTCTCTGGGTGGCCCATATTTATCTGGTTATCAGAAGAAGGGAGGGGAGTACTCAAGAAGGGCAGAACCACTCAAGGACTTCTCCAAGTAAGTATTAAGTTAATCCTTAATAAAGATTAAACTAATCTACCCAGGAGTGAGATGCCTGAAGCTGTAGTCTTTATCTAGTAGAGATCTGATCCAGGTGTCCTTAGCTGTGATCTTGTCTTATCCTTTGAAGCTTTCTGGCTTCATCCACCATTACAAGTTTTAGTAGGGATTAATGACTCACAGAGGTTCATTTACTATGAGTCTGTCACTCACTTCCAGACATGTGGCTTAGGCTTTGGACAGATTCACAAGTAGACATGAAAAGCCAGTTGGTTCATTTAAGTCCTACTTAGGACTGCTTCATAGTGGTCTCCATCAAAATGATTCATTTCTTCTAGCTATTTACTGAAGTCCTCATTATTTGTCAGGCATTGTGCAAAGTGCAAGATTTATTATAATCAACAAAAGAGGCATAATGTCAGGTGTAGTAGCATACACCTGTAATTCCAGCTGTTCACAAGGCTGAGGTAGGACGATGGCAAGTTTAAGGTGAGCCTGGCTAACTTTATGAGACCCTGCCTCAAAATAAAATTTTTTTTAAAAGTGTTAGTATGTGTACCTCAGTGGTAGCATACTTGCCCAGTATGCAAGGCTCTTGGTTTGTCCCTGGTACCAGTGCACACGTAACCACAGGGGGCAGGGGAGATGTGGTTTCAGTTGTTGTAGAATACAGTCTACTGGGGAAAATTGACTTACATAAAATAGGTAAGGTTAGAAATTTAGGAAGTGTTAGAGTCTATGTTTAAAGACATGTCTTTTTATTCCCAAATCTGTATTCTTTCTATAATACATACCCATGCTGTGCCTACCACTTTCTGCTTAAATTTATCATAGAATTTTTAAAAATAGGGCCAAAAGATACATTAAAGAAATAATTGAGAAAAAAAAAAAGAGAAATAATTGGACCACCTGCCATATCTGCCTTCACCTCTCTATCCTGACCATCTGGTTTTTTAAAATTCTTTTTCCTTACCTCCTTGCTTTTTTATTCTGGCCTCTGGGTGAAGATCCCTAGTATTTCTCACTTTTGTGAGAAGATCAGAAAGAAGTAGTTATAGCAGCTGCCTTGCATTTCTTCCTAAGAGCACAAAATATTTAAGTTATTAGTATAAAAGGAACCAATAAATACCTTGTTTTTAAATCATTTTATTTCCTTTTTAGTATTTTAAATACAAACAGTGATAGCCTCATTTGAAGCTAGGAGCAAATATTTAGAAGGAAGAAGCCTTTAATACATCAAGATTAATGTTAACTATAAATTATAAATGAATCATTTTAGTATGTGGGAGTAAGAACTTTAAAACATAATGAAAAAGATGTGTTATGTATATTTACCAACTCCCCATAATGAATGTAATCATGTACTGCAAATGTGTTAATAAAAATTTTAAAAAATAATGAAAATACCCCAAAGAAGTAGTGAATTACAAAGTATATGCTTACTTACCTCTATCACCCTTTTATTCATTCATTCATTTGTTTGTTCATTTGTTCATTGGGTTGGTTGGTTAGTTTTTTGCTATGTGTCTCACTATGTAGTTCAGGCTGGTTTTGTATTCACTGTGTAGCCCAGGCTGGCCATGAACTTACATTGATCCACCTGCTTCAATCTCCCAAATGCTGGCTACTGTTACAGGTGGCTCCCCCTCATTTTAGAAGAAAATTGCTTGGGATATTTGGGTTTGAAGGCAAGGAGGAGAAAATGAAATTAAACATTGCTGAAAAATGTTAATTTATAGAAATGAATACAAATTGTATTAGTCTACAGTAATTTTTTTGTATTTTTATTTTGGCTTTTTTTTTTGAGACAGGGTCTCATGTGTAGTTCAAGCTGGCCTTGAACTCACTATGTAGCCCATCTGACCATGAACTGACCTCACAGTGATTCTCCTGCCTCAGGATTGGGATTACTGTACAGGCATGTGTGTTGGGATTACTCCCCGGTGTTGGGATTACTGTCCAGGCATGTGCCACCACACCTGGCTCAACAATAATTTTTAAAAGGACAGGAATGCTTTTATATTCAAAGAGAAAAGTAAGCAAGAATTGATAAAAAAAACAGTGCATGTTTAAATTTTAAAAATGGAAGTTATCTTTCAGGAGTGTCTTCATAAGGTATGATAAAAAATATGGTGCTTGTGGCTTCTCAGTGTCATCCAGTGGAAGACAGGCACAAGTATGATATGTTGTCGTCTACCTTTTTAACTGAATCTGGCACCATGTGACTTCCAGCTGTTCTCTAAAGTCAAAATGACCATGAAAAGTAATATTTTGAATTAATTCAAGACATCAAGACCATCACAGCAGTGTGACTAAAGACTAGCTGCTTCAGAAAGTGACAAGAATGGTGGGATAAGTATGTTCAAAGTAAGGGGAGTGTTTTGAGGATTAATTAATGACGATATGTCTTTTACTGTCATACCCTTTAAAAAATAAACATATTAGATCAGCATCTCATGAAAGCTGATATGTTTTTAGTGAAGCACTGTTAGTCCCTTTTGAGCTCTTGTGATATTCCTGATATAGAAGTAAACATACCAGTGTGTTAGAATTGTGTTCCTTATACTTCTTTATAAAGACAGGTGAAAACAGTTATTAGAATACTTACTTTCTAATTTACAAAGGAAAAAGATATTGTTTTTGTTTTTGTTTTGTTTTTGTTTTTTGTCTTTTGAGGCAGGGTCTTCCTATGCAGTTCAGGCTGGCCATGAGCTCACTCTGTAGCTAGGCTGGTCTTGAACTCATAATGATCCTCCTGCCTCAGCCTCCCAAGCGCTGGGATTACAGGCATGTGCCACCATGCCCAGGGGAAAAGGATATTTTGGTTTACTGCAAAACAGAAAAAAAATTCTGTTGTTTTGTTCTAATACCTTTAGTCTTTTCCTCAGTCACTTCTTCCTCTGCCTGTAACCATGTATGAGGGTTTCTCTTCCATCTTTTTTTGTAATGACTATGCTACATATTTTAGAATTTATACCACTTATTCCTTATGATTTGACCTCTGTCCTCCCACAGAGACATCTAATCACCAAATTCAGTGACTTCAGTTTTCATTTTCCTTCTTGATATTTTAAAAAAAGCACATACCTTTTCCTTTATTAGTCTCTGAGTAGTTCTGTCTTTACTTAGATCTTCCCCAAGGAAATTATATTCATTTTCACCTTCTGCTTCATGACTTTCACCTTCACTAAAACCACCTAATTCCTGCCCTCAATATTTGTAAAGTAAAAATTCAATTAACATGAGTCTCCACTATACATAAGATATTATGTATGGTGCTACAGATATACAAAGATGAAAGTACTGTATCATTCTTGTACTTAAGAAACTTAGTGCCTTGTAGGAAAGATATAATAGATATATTAACAATTGTAACATTGGCTGAATACTTTGATGAAGAAGATACCTGTGATATGAGGTTAACTTTAATGAGAAGGAAATCACATATATAAATAGGAAATCATATGTATGGTCACATAATATTTTGGGGATATAAAAGTGTTTCAGCTGCTGAGCATTGTCTTAACCCAAAATTCAGCTTTCTATGCTCTGCTTTGTGACTGGACCTCAAACATTACCCCACCACAGCCACCACGCACACAGTCTGCAGGAGATCCCCAGTGGATATCTGAAACCGTCCAGAGCCTACACACAAAAACTGTAGTACTATATCTGTCGATCTGATAACCAAGACAGCTACTCAGTGACTCATGAGTAGGTAGCGTATATAACATGGGCAATGTGAGCTTTTATCATGCTGCTCAAAGTGGCACACAATTTAAGACTTACTTACTTCTGGAATTTTCTATTACTGTAGTTTGATTGTGTGAGTAACTAAAACTTAAGAAAGTGAAGTCGCATGTGAGAAAGGGCTACCATATGCATATGAGGTGGTTTGTACTGCACATCACCTCTGCTAGCTAACTCTTCATTAGACTGACACCAGCAGAGGGTTTCAGAGGGAGTTTGTGAGGCAAGGGAACATAAATGGGGTTTTTGCTTCTTTTACTTCCCCTTGGCTTCCATTTACTTTGAGCAAAGCCAGGTGCACTTCTTTACCCTGGCTGTGTCAGTTTGTCTTGTGAAGAGCTGAATCCAGTCCACATTTTCTCTGATACCTAGAGAACCAGCCTGAACCTGTACCCTCCTTTTCAGGGGGTATGGATCCCAAACCTTGGGTCCTGTTCCAAGCTTAGATATGTTAGCACCAGATAACTTATGCTCTTTCTTTAGAGGTCTGAGTTTCAGTTCCATGTGGTTGTTACTTTAAAGATTCCAGCCTTGTCCTTTGATTGCCCAGTTTTAGAGTTAGTGACTGCTCCCTGCTGTTGCTACCTCCATGATATCGTAATGTTCTGTTCCGGTCTTTTTAGTTGCCTGTTACCAACTTTATGCTTTAATACTTATATTAAATTCTTTCTGTTCCTAAGTGGTGTGATTCCTGTCTCCTGGTCATACCTTGACTAATACTGGAAGGAAAAAATAGTATTTCAGTTTGACTTGGAAAACGGGTGCAAATCAGTAGGCAAAAATTAGGAAATTTAAAATAGAATGAATATCAGCAATAGTAAAGGTAATAAAAGTGAGAAGGTATGGTATACATTTGGGAAACATTTTCACTGTAATTTGAAGAGGCAGAAGAATTAAGTGAAATGAAAGGAAGGGAGAAAAATGGGAAGGAGCCAAAGAGAATTATTATTGTAATTTTTTTCTCTTAACATTTTCAACTCATTAGCTGGGCATATTGGCTCATGCTCGTAATCCTAAGCTAAGGCAGGAGGATGCCCTGGAGTTTGACACCTGCCTGGTGCTACATAGTGAGTTCAAAGCCAGCCTAAACTGCATAGTAAGACCCTTTCTCAAAAATGCAAAAGAAAACAGAAGATTTTCAACTTCTTCACTTGAACAAAAGATCATAGATTTATATAGTAGTTGGAAAATACCCATGTTTAGTAAGGACTATCTGTTACTTGGCTTAACTTACATTTAGCTGAAATATATATGCTTGGTTTTTAAAAAGTATTATTTGCTTTTATGTTTTTGATGTCTAGGCTAGACAGCAACAAGCGGAATTGGCCCAACAGGAATGGCTTCAAATGCAGCAAGCTGCCCAGCAAGCACAGATTGCTGCTGCCTCAGCTAGTGCATCTAATCAAGCAGGATCTTCTCAAGATGAAGAAGAAGATGATGATATCTGAATTCACCAGCTGAGTTTCTGTTTCCTCTATAAATGTTTTTTCTTGCACAACAAAACAGTGAAAGAAATGCTTATCTCTAATTTTGTATCCATCTTGGTGGACTTACCATTGGTATTCTAAGGATGTCTACTGTTAAGTTTCATCTATTGTGTGCTGTACATGTAAAAACTGTCTCTTTGAACTATTGAAAATTTAAGGTTCAATATAATATCAATTTTGAATTTTTAAAGGTGTTTATGAAATTTTAGATAGCAAGTGAGCCCTTTATTTGATCAATAAACAGTGTTACAGAATGCTTCAAGTTTATAAAAATACAGTGAAATTTTTGAGCTCTTAATCTGCATTTACAATTCTTCTGCCCTTTTAACTAAAATTGGGAATTTTAAATTGAGGTCTGGTGTGGTATGACTCAGAATACATTGGATCAGGTTGGTTAAAAAAAAGAGTTCAGTTCTGTATCTGAATTTTTTGTCTTTTAAAAAGAATATATATAGAGGTAATAAATAAATATATATATATATATACTCAGATACATACTGTTTAGAGAAACTTCAAAATAAGACATTGAAAAAGTAGAAAAGAGTGTGTTCAGTAGTAGTATAAATTTGGTGAGTTTTTTTTAATTTTGTTTTGTGTAGAGGTAAAAACTAGTTTTATTACAGCATAATTTATCGTGAGCTAAGCTATTACATTTCAAAGACTGCCCAATTTTGAGGACTGTCATGATTCTTCCTATTTCACTCCCGTTCAGTAATTAACAGTACTACTTGCTTAGTCCATCCATGTTTATATTCAGGTATATAACCTGGACTTGTTAAACAATTGCTTGGGTTCCATTGGTTTAACTGAGGTTTATAAATATTCAGACCTTTGCCAAGGAAAGGAAATGAAAGCTAATGAGCATGCTTGCTATGAAAGAGGGCCCCCCCTTTTTAAAATTTAACTTATAGCTGTAGTTTACTTGTTTGCTTTTAGCATTACATTTACATTTTCTTGACTAGATGGCCTAGAGTCCACAGCTACCTTTTGAAATGGCACCATTGTCTCCTTTATCATAATTGAATGATAGCTTTAAAAGTTTGGTTTTGTTTAAGAAAGTGTGTCATAACCTCTCACCCCTATATGAAACATAAATAGTTTCAACCTGCTTATTAAAAGGGAGAAGCTTTAATTTGGTTCCAATAAATAGAGAACAGTAGTGATTGTTATAGGAATCTAGCATATGGAGAAATTGCGGTATTGTTTGTATTTGGGGAACAGAAAGTAAAAGCCAATTAAGATAATATGAAGTAATTAAATTCCTATGTCAATTGCCAAATCATTTGAATTTCTATATTCACCAAGCCCCCAAATAGATCCTCGTTGCAAGGATTCCAATTTTAATTGAAGAACTAAATAAGTAAAGTTTATAAGTATTAGATATGTTAATGATTATATTTTTCAGTTTTAGAAAAGGGAAATAGTGTTATATATTTATCAAATACACTTCACCCACATAATGAGAAGGTTAATAATTTTGATGCATGTTTTCAGTTGAAGTTACTTCATTGATATCACACCCATGAAGTATATTTGGACAAAATGGAAGGAATTGTTTTTTAAAAAGTTAAAGTACCAAAGGTAGTCTAGTCTAGAGAAATAATAAGTGTTGGCTTTACTAATTTGTACTGTAACATGCTTATACTTTCTATTTTACATGTATCTATTTCTCAAGTAAATAACTTAGGTATTTTTCCATACCTTTTTCTTTCTGATGCAGAGTTCAGGTTAATATTTTACTGCATCTGATAATGTACTATATGTTTGAAGCCTAGTGACTTTTCATTTTGGCATTTTTGTGATTGCATATGCTGTATTCTTCAAGCAATAAAATTCTGATGTGTTTTATAAATTGTTTTTATGTTTAATGATCCATAGAGAGATTTCTTTTACCATTCTTACTAGTTTCAAGATATTAGGCCCTAAGAACATTTTGGTTTTTTGGCATGTACTAGCCACCTTTCTCCTTTAAGAAATACTGTAATTTTAGCACTTAAAAGTAGTCCCTATTATATGTTGCCAGTCATTGAAACTTTTTAGTCTTTTTAGAGAAACAAAATCTTGGGAGTTTTTGAGAAATAGTTATTGTTCAGTAAAAGATCTCTCCCACCTCCTTGAATATATATCTTTTCACCAGATTCTGAGATTGATAGGTTTTGAAAAGGCACCAATTTTTAAAATTGCATATGTACAATAAGGGTTTGCACAAACTAAACATCACCAGTATTTGGAGGAAGACAAGCATTATGATCCCACTTGTTCCTATTTTAACATCGTCTCTTTCTCTAGAAGTAACTACTATCCTGACTTTTAAAAACATGGATTAAGTCTGCCTATTTTTTATTCTATGTAAATGTAATCATACACAATAGACTTCTTTCACTTATTACTTTTGTGACTGTTGCTTCTGTAATAAGCAAACTTAGTGACTTTTTTTCTCTTATAGTGCTAGAGATCAGAAGTCCAAAATCAGGAGTTTTTTATTTTTAAATTTTTTTTAACTTTTTACAATTTTTTAAAATTAATTGTTTATCAGTACATTCTAGGTACACATAATGATCACATTCATCATAGGGAGTTTGTACCTGTACATGATATATCTTGATTCTTTTGTTTTTCCCCATTCCCTTACCCTCCCTTCAACCCCTTTTCCCCTCCCTATTTATAAAAGCTTTGTTTCCATTTTTTCCTATTCTTGCTTTTTCTTTTTCCTTCTTTTCTCTGTCCGTTCTCCCCTTCCTGTTTCGCAAGGATATCATACTCTTTTTTTTTTTTTTTTTTTTTTTTGTTTTTTCTGCGGTACCGGGAACCGAACTCACGACCTTGCGCTTGCCAGGCAGGTGCTTTTGCCGCTGAGCTAAATCCCCAGCCCCGGATATCATACTCTTAAGTGAAATAAATTGGACAAATGTGTGTAAATACCACATTGTTTCTCTGGTTAGAGAAACTGAAAGTGTAAATAAGGACCAAAATGTGAAATAGATATTGTGAAATAGGAAGAAAATGTTCAAATAGGAAGGGGGAGAGAGAAGAAAGGAAAGGAAAAGAAAAAATTCAGTTTCATTAGGCCAAAATCAAGGTATTAGAAGGCTTGGTTCTTTCTAAAGGTCATAAGGAGAAAATTTGATTTGACATCTTTTTTCAGCTTCTAATGACTTCCTGTATTCCTGGACTTATGGCTCCTTCTTCCATGTTAAAAGCCTGATTTTGTTGCTACATCAACTCTTGTATAGCCAGATCTTTCTTTGCTTCTACATTTGTAGTCCCTCTGGATAGTCCAAAGTAATTCTCCCATCTCAAGATTCTTAATCAGATGTGCAGTCTCTTTTGCCATATCAAATAACTTACACAAATTCTGAGTACTAGGGCCTGGATATCTTTGGAGGCCATTATTTAACCTACCAAAGGAAGACCCTACCATACTGTTGCATGTATTTGTAGTTCTTTTATTCTCATTGCTGAGTACCATAGCATTTCATTTATCCATTTTTTAGTGTACATCTAAAATATCCATTCTACCATTGATGAGCATTTGAGAAATTTTTCTTCTGGGCCATTATGAGTAGTATGGTGAAGAGCATTTTTTTATGTGTCTTCTGGTGGTGGGTATATATATATATATATATATTTCTTTTAAATTGCTGGGTTATGGAGTATGTATATTTTCAATTTTGGTATGTGTTATCCAAAGTGTTTGTAAAAAGGCACTATTTTAATGTGTACTGTAGTAATGAATTAATGACCTACAGGCCTGAGAATATTCATGAATTTCTCAAGGACGTCTAGATTATACCAAATGAGTTCTACTTCTACATCAGGTCCATTGTTATTTAATATCATGTAAAAGGAGAATATAAGGCATTGCTCCTCAGAAAACATACAAGTTTTAGGTAATTATAAATCATATGTTGAGTTTATAAATAGTATGTTGACCTGTAGACAGATGTATTATTTGTCAATAAGGTTATAACTTATTAAAACACACAGATATCTGCTCATAGAGTTCTCTAAATCAGTTATGTCTCTCCAGCTCATAGATATCCTGTGGCCATCAGGAAGACCTATTGAATCCCGAAAGCACAGGCACTCTTTTCCACTGACTTCACTTGGATTTTTTACTTTCTTCTCCTCTGTCCTTAGGCAGTTAACCACAATTCCTGCCCTACTCTCTCTTTTCCACCCTGCTCCGGGCTATTGAATATCATAGGTAAGATCAGCTAATGTGTAGAGCAGTGAAGTGCTGTACCTGCAAGCAGAGACACTAAAACAACACCCAGGATTTGGAGGCAGGGTCATTCCCAGAATATCAGGCCCCGATCTCTGGTAATTGAAGGCTTATATTAGGTAAGCAAGCAGGAAGTGCAGTTTGGGATTGGTTTATACATTGTGTACCATAGTGACCAGCCATTTGTAAGAGACTAGGACTAACCTGGAACAGGAACCTGGGCAACTAAGAAACTGAAGTATACTGGCTGGGTGGGACCATTTTCTGTTGTAGTGCCACCACTGATTATGTCCTCAAAACACATGAAACAAGAAACGAAATAAAAAGAAAAAATTTTACTTAGGATCTGTTTCTGCCATAAATCAAGAGACCCAGGATTTCTCAACCTCAGCATTTGCATTTGGGGCTGGTTAATTCTTTGTGGGGGAGATCAGCTTGAGCATTGCAGGTCTATAGCTGCATTCTTGGCTTAGATCCAGTATACGCCAGTAGCATTCCTTCCAACCCCACTCCCCAGGTATGACAGCCCCAAAATATCTCTAGACATTGTCCAGTGTCCCTGGGAGTTGAGAAGGGGTCAAAATTACCCGCTACTGAGAGCCACTGCCTTGGAACATCTATGTATTCTTAGGGCAGGTTAGCGGGGTAATGGCTGTGAGCCAACCTCTATTAGAAGGGACATATTAATCTCACTGGAAAAAAAGACAACAACCCCCCCCCAAAAAAAAGAAACCCACCAAAAAAACCCCCAACAAAACACCAAACAACCCAAATGATTTAAGGAGAATAAACTGAGGGTTAAAATGTGTTTCTATAGAAAAGCAAAATCAAAATCAGGAGGCTCTTAACTTCACATCTCCTTTCACCCACTAGAGTCCAGTCCAGTTGTATATCTCTACCTGCTTTGTGTTTTTTCAGCTTGCTGCTAGGCATGCCCAGTGTGAAACAGATCTGTAATGCTATCTCATTGCTGTTTATTCTTTTTAACAAGGTTTTGTTTTTGGTCTCGCAGTGTGGTCAAGGTTGACTTCAAACTTGTGATCCTCCTGCCTCAGCCTTCCAAAGTGCTGGGATTATAGGCATGTGCCACAATACCCAGTGAGCATGCTATTTTATTTTGGTACTGGGGATTGAACCTAGGGCCTTGGCACTGATCTACATCCCCAGCCCTTTTTTATTTTAAATTTTGAGACAGGGTCTTACTAAGTCTCTAGTTTACCCTTTTTTTGTGGTTAAATGTACCATAAAACTTACCACTTAACTTGTTTTAATTGTACAGTTTTATAGTTTTATACACTTTTATAGTTTTGAGTACCTTCATATAGTACAGATATCACTACCGTTCATCTCCAGTACTCTTTATTTCAAATTGAAATTCTGTCCTCATTAAACAGAACTCCCCATTATACTTAATAATTACCATTCTTCCTTTCATCTCTGAATTTGACTATTCCAGGTACCTCATAATAGCAAAATCATACTTATTTCACCTCCAGTAATGTCTTCAAGGTTCATGTTGTAGAATGTATCAAAATGTCCTTTTTGTTAAGGCTGAATATTATTCTGTTGTATATAGCACATTTTGTTTATTCATTCAGGGTATTAGAAATAATGCTACTAGGATTATGAACATAAAAATAGTTGGTAGGACTACTTCCTAACAGTCATGTTCTTTTTAGGTGCACAGATCTTTATATTGAGAACTGAAATAGGGAACGAGGGCCGGGGATATAGCTCAGGGCACAAGCACATGCTTGGCAAACGCACAGTCCTGAGTTTGAGTCCCGATACCAAAAAAAAAAACAAAAAACGGTGGGCCCTGTGGTTCAGCTGGTTAGAGCACCTATCTAGTAAACTGAAATAGGGAACGTGTAGTGTGAATGTGCATATAAAAACCATTTTTATTATATGGCAAACATATATGACTAGAGGGTACTAGAGCTTGTGTATGTTATTTCACTTGCTCATTTGTGAGATAATATCAGAATGGAAATGTCTAGCAAAGGAAGAAGAAACTATGTTTGTTCTTAAAGAATCTCAGGCTGGGGATTTAGCCCACTGGTGTAACCGCCTGCCTGGCAAGTACAAGGTCCTGAGTTCAATTCCCAGTACCCCACCCCAAAAAAGAAAAAAAGAACTTAAAATTCCTTTAACTTTAGAGGGAAAATTACAGCAGACTCAAAATTTCCTGATATGGTAAACCTTCTAATGAGACAAGTCTTGCTGTATTGCCCAGGCTGACTAGAAATGCCTAATTCTCCTTGCTGAGCCTCGTCAATAGTTAGACTGTAGGCGTGCGCCTTCCTGCCTACCTCTAAATTTATTTCTTTTATTGTGACTAAAAAGGATATGCTGAATTTTGTAATGTGTCACCAGAAAATTTCTAGAATCTGTAACATATGGTAGTAATGTGGTTGGAATATTAAATAGAAAAGTACCATATCTCAGAAACATTTATTTATATATTGCACAGCACAGGGTATGTTTTCTAAGTTTGTTTTACATATGCAGTTGCATCATACATATAATGGTAACCTTTACAAAGTATGTTCTTTTTTAAAAACTTTATGAATGAGGAAGCTAAGTCACAAAGAAATTAAGTAATACAGTAACATCTAGCAAATGGA